CATCCTTGCTTTGTCCTGAGCTCAGGCCACCTACAGCTCCCTCCAGAGCACGGGCTCTTCCCAAAAAGGCCACCACCACCTCATCAGCACAGGGACGGACTGAGAGCAGAGCCAGCAGCACTGCTGGGTCTGTCCTGGGGACAGGACAAACATCCTCTAGAGAAAAAAACCAACCTGGTGCTCACTCTGAACCAGGCTGGGCTGGCAGCTCCATAGTGTAAACCCAGGAGATGGAATGTCCCTCTCAGAGCACTGCACAGCTGCAGCTTTACCTGCTGGTGGCACAGGAAGCTCAGCTTGAAGCACCTATGAAGCCTCACCTGGGGTCTCTCTAACTCCATGCCACTTTCTGGCAGCATCAGGCAGCTCCTCTGTGCCTGGCTGCTCCCTCCACACACACTCACAGCCAAAGCCCAGGCTCCAAACACAAGTGACTGATGCAGTGGTGGCTCCACACCCAGCACAGGCACAAATATGGTTTTGCTCCTGCCATCCCTCCCCACTGCCACTTGGCTTGGGGAAGCTTTGCTCCTTACACACTCACATTGATGACTGAAAAATCATGCATCATGCAAAAAACAAAGGGAAGACACAAAGATTACTTTTTTTGAGCTTAAAAAGAAGTTTTTCCAGTTTCAGGTAACTGCCTCCTTTGGTTTGTCCTGCTGCAAACCAGTAACCATGCTGGTTCAGCAGGAGCCATGGAGAATTTGGCTCACAGCTCCTGCCCAAGACCCCTCACCCCTGCAGCACCAAGGACACTTTATATTGGATCTCACCCTTTCCCACACAGCTTGCCCAGAGCAGCTGGTCACAACAGGCAGCCCAGTGCTGCATCCTCCAGCCCCCCACTCCAGCAGCAGCAGCTGCCCTCCCAATAACCCCACTGAGCAAAACAGATTAAAACAGTAACAAGAAAAACCTCCCACAGCTCCCTCCCGATCCTTGTGTCTGAATCCCAGCTCACACAGATCCCTGCTTCCCCAGACAGCAGGGAATTTCTCAAAGGCTCTGCTTGCTGTCCTTCTCAATGTCACTGCCCCATGCCCTGGTACCTTTTCTTCTCACAGTTCCAGAACATGGAGATAAAATCTAATGTGCATTATCTCAGTGTGGGGCCTCTGACACCTAAGCTGGAGAATGTCCAAAATTCCATGAGCTCTGTAAGACTGAGTGATTACTTATTCCATGCTTTATTCTCTGCAGCCTTTTTACACTTCCCTTTCACATTTTAATCACTTTCTGTATCTTTCTTCTAAGTCTGTCCCAAGGGACACCCACTTCTACATTAAAAGTAGCAGAAAGCTACAATAGTCAGCAAAGACTCTGGCCACAGCCTTGGAGGCAGAGTGAATGCTGAACGAGACAGAGTGCTCTTCGTGGGAACCCTCCCAGACCTCCAGCCTGCATAAATAAACCAGCAATCAACAGAGGCAGGAAGAGAGCAGGAGATGCATCAGCAGCCTGGCACCCTCAACACATCCATATCCTGTCACCTGCAGCAGAGTCCAACCCTCCCTTTCTCTCTAATTCCTCAAAATATTTTAAAGATCAGGAGAAAAAAATCTGAATTATCCCAAAGGGACAACCCCCTCCATCCTCTGCATTCATACCCCACCACCAGGCAACTGCCTTGCTCCAAAAGGGAAACAGAGGGAAGAAAATTCTGTATGGTCATCATCCCTGACAAAACCTCTGAGAAAGAGGAGAGGTAAATGCACCTCTGCAGTCACCTGGGAAAAAACTCTTCCAGGATAAGACTCTCTTCCAGGAGAATTGCATAGGAATAGTCACACAACATTGCTGAGCCATGAAGTTCTCAGGCCTCACATGAGCAAGAATCAGAAGCTGTAACCAACAAATGCTCCCCCTCACCTTTCTTCCCCCCATGTACACCCTGCAACACCTGCAAGCCTCTGTACCTGTGCAGCTCCACACCCTGCCCCAGCAAAGCAAACAGAGCATGCACACTGCACTTTAACTGAAACCAGAAGGAAAACACAGCCTTGCACATAACTCAGCCCTTGGACGAGGCAGCTGGCCTGTCCTGCTGATCTACAACCCCTCTGCAGCTCTTCATTACCACTCCCCAACCTCTCCAAGACATTCTGCCACACACAAACACACAAGCTCTCCAGAGGAGCCACCACAAATACAAGTTATGACTGAAGGAGCAGCTCTTTGATCAGCTGTGGAATGTGAAGTTATGAGGGATGCAACAGCCATTGTATCTTTTCCTTTCCTTGGAGTCAAGGGACTAAAAAGATAAAAAAATGCAAACGGAAATGGACAATCCTCAGAGAAGAAAGTGCAGCAGAAGTGGAGCAGGTTGGGGCAGTGTCTGCACACCTGGCATCTCCCATGGATCTCCTGGGGCTGCCTGGGCTGTCAGAGCTTCACCCCTCTGCTGAGGAGCTGAACCAGCACATAAAGCAGCAAAGAACTGACATCCCAAAGAACTGACATCCCAAACCTGCCTCATTTTCTGCATGAGGACTGCCCTGCACAGGGGGAGAGAAGGGTTCTAGCTCCTGGGTCCAGAGAAGGAGGATCCTGCCCTTTTCTCCTCCAGTTATGCCTTCATTGTCCCACTGATGGCTCTGCCACCTTCCTGCTCCTCAAAATCCACACCTCTTTTCCCTCACTGTATTCATCAGTGACTTTAAACATTTCTTAAACCATTTTTTTCTGGACTGAACCAAGGCTTGCCTCCTTCCAGTCATATTTAGGCCAGAGCTTTCATCCCAGCTCAGTTTGCTGGCAGTGCAGGCAGCACCTGGGTGCACAGCTGGGGTTTTGACAGCAGAAACAGGCCTGTCCCACCAGGTACAGCACTCAGGTGAAAGCTCAGAGCTGACAGACACACACAGGCACTGAGGGTTTGATTCTTTGGAGCACTGTGCTTTCAGGACCTAAGGCACCAAGCCATGCAAGTGGGAATTCAACAGCACAGCATGCAGGTGTTCTCCCTGCTCACACTGCCTCTGCTGCTCTCTGAGGAGCTGGAGCCCATTCAGGTCCCTCTGGATCTGTGCTATGCCTTCACCTTCTGCAGCAGAGCCCTTCCTTTGCTTCCCTGCAGGCACTGGGGGCAGCTCACACTGCAGCTCCAGCACCCTGCCCAGCCAAAGGTGAAGCCTCCAGAACTTGAACAAGTGATGCTGAGATGGAATTTCTGCAGGAAGGAAAGATGTGACTTCCCTGTCATCAGGCTGCTGGGATGAACTAAAAGGAGCCAAATTTTCTACTTGCAGTGTTTTTTATTGGATAGCAACCTTCCTACTGGGGTTATTTATAAAGAAGTGTTACAGACTGTGTTAAGTTATACATTGCAGAATTTCAGAAGATGACTTAAAAATGACGATTCTTTTTTTCCCTCCCCTCTTCCTCAGAATTTAGAGTAATTTCTAGGGAATTTTATTCCTTTCCAAGTGAATACTTAAGGATCCCATAAGTATTGTGGCATTTCCAAATGTGTTTCTCACTGCTTCATTCTTGCCTGTGGCAACTAAATTCTCCTGGATTCAAAAACAATCTCAAGGCTGATACACCAAGGGGCAGTGGGTGAAAGGCTTCCCTGGAGAGCTTATGGATGTCACAAGCAGAGACAGGGCTGAAATGCTGCTCTGGGGAGCCTGGCTGTGACACATGAGCCAGGAGTCACATCAGCTCCATTCCCATGCTCTCCTCACCCACGATCAGAGAATCCAGGAGCACCCCAAGGATGAGTTAAACAGCAGCTTTTGAAGTGCACATCAGAGAGGCTCCCACTCCCTGGATCTGACCAGGGCTGCCCAGGCCTCAGGCACCTGAACAGATCTGCAATTTCCTCTTCTCTCCATTAGAGATTCTCTGCCTGGCCCCAACACGACCCCACAGGTACTACAAGGGCACTACAAAACAAGCAGGAGCCAACACTTCTTCCTGCTGGAAACTGGGGTGAGGGGCTGCAAAAAGGACTGGCAGAGACTCCAGGAGACAGAAGCAGCTGCAGAAATGGCCACGATGGAAGGAACAAAGAAAAAGGGAATTTGCACCAAACCCCAGCCCTTCCCTTCCTACCTCCACATGCTGTTCTTAGACCAAATATTATAAGTAAAGTGTCCCTGGAGATCTTCATGAAAAGAATCCAAGACTACCTCGGTACATTGTCTTAGAGCCTTTCCATTCCCAACATTAGCACCATTCAGCCAAGGACAATGTGAAGGTCATTAGAACAGATCCCAGAGAAAAGGAAAGCACTCAGCTGGCAGCCAAAGACTGTGTGACTGCTCTTAGAGCAAGAGGCATCTCCTGGACAGGCTTAAACACACACAGCTTACCTAAAATGATAACATCACTCTACATTACATTCTATTTAATAACTTTATCCCCTGCACAGCAGCTCAACAGCACTGAACAATTTGTTGCTTTTCACACAGACTTTCTGTGGATTACACAGGATTTTCTGTAGGTTTTGCAACGAATTAACTGCCTGCAGAAAAGACACAGTCCTGTTAGAGGTCAGGTGAGTTTATCCTGCACTCTCCTGCCCATCAAGCAGAACTCATGATAAGCTGATGGGGACAATATCTACATGGAAAATAGTGACACATTAGCTAGCACATGTAGTGCCCTCGTCTAGGCAAATCTCAGTTTACCCCTGTTGAAGCAAACCCCAGGAATAAATCCAGATGTCCCCTTTGCCAGCAAGGATTTATGCCAGTGAACAGAATATAACTCACCTGTTTTTTATACCCCAGTGAAAGCAAGACCTAGGAGTCACAAACCAGTGCAGAATTTATGACAGGGCACTTGTCCCCTAACTGAACTCACCCCCACAGCCCACCCAAGCCTTGGGTCACCAAACTGCCTTTCCTCCTTGGGGGCAACTCCTCCTGCCTCTCTGCTGCTGAGATCTCACTGTTCATGACAGATAAATAAATGTACTTTCATTCTAAAGCTATTAACCATTGCTGCAGGCACACATAGGCATAACCAAGGCACATCAGTTCTCTTACCTGAGCCATTTCTGCCTTCAGGATGGTTTTGTGAAAGGTATTCTCCAAAAGCCCTCGCCGCTCTGTGTCCCAGCATCAGGAGGCAGCCAAGGAGAGAAAGAAAGAGTTTTGAGATGCTTAAAGCCAAGGAAAGAAGGAACAGTTCAATAGCAAGACACTGCTGTGCCCCTGCAGCTGCCATTCCCTCAGCCTCAGGTGACACCCATGGAAATTCACTGCCAGAGCAGAGAGGCTTCCTCATTACACACCAGGATTCCAGTGGTTGGTTCATCAGTTTGGTTTGCTTCATCAGTGTTTCCCTGGCCAAACTGGGAAACAGAGCTGGACTAGAAATCCAGGACTAGTTTAGGCTTTAGCTTCTCTGTTATAAAAATGAAAGAACAGAATTGAAATGCACCTGCATGAAATCTGTGATGCACACAGGAACTGGCTCACTGTCTCCAGCCCCCCTGAGTTAAGCCCCTCCTGGCAGCCCAGGAAGGAGCCATATCCACCCCAGAGCCAACCACCACTCCAAGCTCCTGCAGGTCCTGAAAGCTCCCAGCTGGGAGCCACCAGAGCTCAGATGGATGCTAATGCCCATTTTACCTACCTGAAGCCTAAATTCTCAAGCCCCAGCTATGTCAGTATTTGCATTACTGGACAAGCTTATTTGAGAGTCACCCACAACCTCCCACAAAAGCAGTTCCTGCTTCTCTGATGGATTCCAGTCCTGTGGATGACTGAGATTTTACTGGTATATATTAAGAATCAAGCAAGCAGGGCAAGCTCAACCCTTATCACACATCCAGGCCCACGTAAGAGAGCAAACCTATGAATATTCCAACCAGGGAAGAGCTTTCTGCATGCAACTCACACAGGAAAGGAATCCTTGGTCAAGGCATGGAATACAGTAACCTCCAGACTCCAACTGCCAGGGCATTTGTAATGTCCTGGTGCTGTGGTTGCTCTCCTGTATCTAACAGACCTGTGACTCAAGAGAGCCAATACTAGAGCCAGGTTTTCCCCAGGCATCCATTTTCCCCAGGCTTGTAGAACAATCTCTCCAAGGTCTGTAGCTGAGCTGCCACTGGGCAGCCCAGGGTGGAGACTGGCAAAGAGGGAGGTGAAACAGCCACCACCTCCTTGGCAAGCCAAGCCAAGCCAAGCCAAGCCAAGCCAAGCCAAGCCAAGCCAAGCCAAGAAACCCAGAGCTGAGCACCCTCAGCCCTCAAGCACATCAGCATCTCCTGGGGAAGGACAAGATTTGCAGCAACAGAGAAGACTCCCCACCCCAAGGCATCACATCCACTGTCCTCTCCTTCAGGGGTGCTCAGCCTCAGAACATCCTCTCCAGCTCAAGCTGCTGCAAAAGGCTCATAATGGCCATTAAACATCTAAGTGGGAAATGGCTTTGACCTCCAAAACCACCTTCTGCTTTGCATATCCCAGCTTGTGTAGGCAGGATCTTCCCCACTGCTTTTATGCACCCCCTCCCAGAGGAGAAAAGGTTAACAAGGCTCCAGTGCACTTCCCAGAGTGACTGGAGGGAGTGGGAAGTCCATTTGTCTTCCACAGCCAGCAACACAGGATCAATATGAACAATGAAGAAAGAGTAATTTAATCTCTCTGGGACTAAATTTCAGCACAGTCAAATGCAAAATGCTTTGGAGCAGCACAGCTGGAGCTGTGCAGGAAGAAAGGTTTAAGCTTCTGTATCTTTTCATACTAACAGACAATGCTAGGTTTTCCCTGGTTTTGGATTCTTACATGTCCAGCTCCAGGCTGTACCTTTAAACACTGCCTTGGGGTGGCAGCTGCCCAAACTGTCCCCCTCAGTGCCTAACACCCCCAGAGGTGGTCACAAGGAGGCTCTGTCACACGGGGAGCTCTACAACCAGCCCACAATCCCCACCGTGAAAGGCAAAGGGGTGACCATCATGGTTCACCCACCCAGCAGGACAAGCACCTCATGGATGTTCCTGGCACCCTCAACCTTTCTGCCCAGGCAAAAAGCAAGACTTGATCCTGGAACAACACACAAGTTCAAAATTGGGAACTGGAGTGTGGCTGCTTCATGGAGGTGGTTGAGTCAAATTCCCTGGAAGTGGGGATGTGGCACCTGGGGACATGGTTTAGTGATGGATGGGGCAGGTTTTGGTTTGCAGTTGGACTCATTGACCTTGGAGGTCTTTTCTAACCTTAACAGTTCTATGACTTTAACATTAGGCTATTCAGCTGCAAGAAAATTCCTGAGCTGCTCCTGTAGTCCATCTCAGAGCTGGTGAAAGCTCAGCCAAAGCTGTGGCTGATCCTGCACACCACCAGCAACAGCATGGCTTTAATAAGATGGCTGGGCATGAGATTCTGAGATCACTTCCACCGAAATTTCTGGGACTCCAAGGCTTCCCATGGAAATGTCTGTCTTTGTGAGGCATCACCAACACCCTTCACAAATGGGCAGGCACTTAGGCCATTGGGAAAACCTTTGAGGCTTCTCTTTTGCATCGGCAGTCATTCCATGTAGAAAAAATAATAGCAAGCAAGTTCTCAGGTAAATTATCAGTGAGAGAACATGGTGATTTACACAAAAAAAAATGCTGAAATATGATGATAAATCTCTAACTAGATCAAAAGCTCCACGAGTTCCAAATTCATCAGTCACTGTCTCCATTCATCTCTTTGCCAGTGCCCGAAGCTGTTTTATCTGTCTGAAAATCTGAACCAAGGTTTCACCTTTAACTTGCAAACCATGGGCTCAAAAAACCAGCACAAAGCATTTCCTAAGCCCAAAACTGATAACTAGCTACGACAGAGCCAGAGAAGCACTGCTGCCCTCCAGCCCAGTGTATTCCATGGTGAAAACGGTGTCACTCAGTAAGAGCCCCAGCTGGAAGGTGCCGCAGTGTCTCTGACCTCACTCTCGTTTCCCTACACAGAGGAGGGAGGAGGGTACAAGCCCAGGTGCCAGAGCTCCTAGAGAACAGGTCACACCCAGAGATCAGGCCATACCCAGAGCTCTGCTGCAGGTCTGGGTAGAAGCTTTGGAGGGCTGGGCATTGCTCAAAAGCATTGCTCCCTGCCCAGGCTGAGCCTGCAGCTCTGTCCTGGCCGTTCCACCCCAAGGCTCCCAGAGCCTTCAAGCCAACCCAGGAGCAAACAAATACAGACACGTGGGCACAGCTCCCCAGCCCTGGTGAACACAGCACAGCGTGCAGCAGGGGGTTTCCAGCCAATTACACCCGAAACTTGCCACTAATTATTGTGCCTATTATCTCAGCAGTTCCCTTCTGCACTCCTGCTTCCCCAGTGCCCTCGGCTCCTCCTTGGCCGTGCCTCAGCGATCTCCCGCAGATGCCTGCACGTGCCCTTTGCCAAGGGGACTCTGATGGCCACACTCGCTCCTAATGGCCACCTGCCCCTTGCCAAGCCTTTTGTGCTCCTCCCCTGCCCTCACAGTCCCCTCAGCTCACCAGCACTCGCCTGCATTGTTACTGTGCCATTGCTCCACTCTCCCTGCTACAGTAAAGCCAGAGCACGATTCAAACAGATGGCAGCTGTTCTATTCATCCCATTCTTTTCTCTCTCTTTTATCTGTTACCACAAGTCACACAATCAGACTTTTCCTCAGCTCAGCTCTGCCTCCACTATCACTGCCAAAGGAGTTCAAGCCCCCTCACACCACTGGACAGCACTGGACATAAACCCCTTCAACTGGGCTCTGAGCAGAGACACCTTGGGATAATTTAAGAGCAAGAGATGGAAAAGAAAGCTTGCTTCACATAAATGAGATGAATACAAGGTGCCTCACAGCTCCATGGGCCGGTGAGCTATAACCCTGAGTGTATGACACTGCAAAAGCTGCATACCAATGAGCAGGTAGCACTGAGAGGTGATCAGCTGATGACAGGACAAGTTTAGCCCTGACTCATCTGTAGAGAGGTTTTCATTCTAGTGGCAGAGCAGACCTGCATGTCACACAGTCAGCACAGCTTGATTTAACAAAAGGACATCAAGCAGGGACCAGGGCTCTAGCACACTGTGCTGCTGAGCCTAACCAGCACAGACAAGCCTCAGAAAACACCAGCATTTCCTCCAGAATTCCATCAGAAAGGCTCCAGGGAGGGAAGGAGGGACGGGGCAGCACAATACAGGCAGCAAAGGCAGCTGCCCTTCTGGGGCATTTTCCAGTACTCACTGTGCCTCAGATGTCAGAGCTGGGCTCGGGTCTGGAAGAGCACTGTGAGGAGGCACAGACAGTCTAGACAGAGATTTGCTCGAAGGAGCAAAGCCGCCAAATAACAAAGATCTCAATTACAATGTAATAAGCACAGAATGGCCTTCATGTCTCTGAAATAATCACATCAACAGGATAAAAGGGGCCTTGATGCACACGAGCAGCTATGAGAAACAGATGCACATAAATTTATCCACCAAACTGACACTTACAGAGTGAAGAAATGCAGATTGAAACACTCAGAGATACAGGAAAGACCTCAGATAACTCCATTTAGCAGTAAGCTCAGCAAAACCTGGACTATTCAGGAGTATTACATGGAAAAACAAAGAACACCCACCACCTTCTCATGCTCCTTCAGAAGTAATGCCCAGAGAAGTTGCAGCAGGAATCTGTTGTGACAGCATCTGACAGTGCTGCATCTCAGGCATACAGGAGAGAAGAGACCTGCATCATCAGGACCTACATCCTCCTACAGCAGCAATCCTGCTCTTGTCACCAAGCAGAGAAGGGAACACCTCCAGCACAGCCACAGTTAACAGCTCAGTCATTAAAGACTGGTGACACCTACGTTATTTAAGCCTAATAGTAACAATACCCTGACAAAAATTAGTTTTCTAAAATATCTATGTAGAGAAATGGTAGCTGGAAAATTCTAATTTCAAAATTCTCACACTCAATAAGGGGAGATTGGATGTCGGCAATGGGTCTTAGAGACTCCACAGTATTGGAGTAATTTATGATCATGAAGTTTGGACAGGGAGAAGAGAGGAAGAGCAGCAGAAGTTAAAAGAAAAAGGCAATCAAAGAGACAGTTCATACCATTCCTCAGATAATTCACAAGCAGAAAAGAAGAATCTAGACTCCATGAAGAACCCCAAGCTAAGCCAAAAATCACTCACGCAGCAAGAAGCCTGGGATAAGGTACATGGTCACTTACCTCTGCATTTCATCAATGAAAAATCCACCCTTTCACTAATGCTGTGTTCAAAGCCACTCTTCATCCCTCTCTAGGCAGGAAGAGAGGGAGTTAGAACAACCTCTTATCTCTCTGTGGGCTATCCTGGACTAGATGCCAAGGTCATGGAATTGGGCAAGACAAACTACACTCTCAATTCATATATTTCCTGTGCTAATGACTGCGAGAAGAGATGGTTCTGGAACACCCAGCAAAAGCCTCATGTCTCTTTGCTCTCACTGTCACATTCTCCCAAAGAACAGCTGTAGGCCAGCACAATACAAAGCAGAGCTGCAGGAAAACATCTGCTTTATTGCCTCATTTGGGGTGCCAGTGTTTTCCTGCAGGTGTCAAGGGACCAAGGGCAAGGAAAGCCCATTTCTGAAGGGCTTTGGTTCATCTGCACCCTTGGAAAAGTTCTGAGGAAGCCAAGAAGAAGCACAGGTGAGATAGGCACAGCCCGGGCCCTGGAGAGGCTGCCAGCAGAGGGGCAGCACCAAGGTCACCGCTCAAGGACAACTGCGTCAGCCCTGCCTTCGGCACCGGGGCCCAGGAGCTGCAGGGCAATAAAAGCACACGCAGGGAGGGAACAATCCCTCCTGGCAGGGAGATCTCACATCCAAGCCCTTCACAGGAGATCACAGCAGCAGCACCAAGCACAGCCTTTCCTGGGCGTGCAGGGCGCTGCAACTCCCCCAGGAGAAGACACCACGGAGACCAAAGTCAGCAGCATCGAGGGTGCTCTCCACAGCACTGGCACACAGCAATTGTGTCCTTAGTTTGTAAAATGCTACTTAAAAGACCCAGCACACAACAAGCTGCATGGAGCTTAATTAATGCTCCTGGGACATGAAACTCCCCTGAGTGGCTCTGCAGAGATTTTAATTTAACAATCTAGGGAGCCTGCACCTCCTGCCTGGATCCCATTACTCACACCAGCAAACAAGCCCTGCTCCTTGCTCAGTAGAACAGCCAAGTGTGCACATGCACTCCAGCCACACGTAAGAAATACACACCATGGTCACCTGGACTTGCAGCAGAATTCCAGGAGATGATTTTTCTCTCTAAAGAGAAGTCATGACAAATATGAACAGGACAGAGCCCAGAAGAAGCAGAGAAGCAATCCCAGGATCCCCCAGCTGCCTACACCCACAGGGCACATGACCATTGCAGCAGTGCTACCCACACAGGTGACCCAAGTGCCCAACCCTTGTAGGGTGGACAGAACAGTCTCTCTGCAGCCTTACCCAGTGTCCTACAGAGTCCTCACTGTAGATAAAGATGCAGGAGATACATGGAGGAGAACCCAGGGCAGAGCAGAGGAGCTGTGTGTGATGTGCTCCAGGAAGCCTTTCAGCAGGTGGGTCATTGCCACTGTAGGAATTCTGAGCATGACAGAGCCCATGGTAGCAGGGACTGAGCCATGCCTGGAGCAGCAGGATGCAGGCATATGGACAGCACCTGTCACCACCAGCACCTTCTCCATGCAAAGGGACTCTGCAGGGAGCCCCTCCGCACCTTCACCGATCTCCTCAAATGATTTCTGGATCAGCAATTTCTAGCACGGGCATCAACAGGGAGACACATAAAAGCACCTGTCCTGTGCCATGGTCTATGTGACCAGACACTCCTCAAGGGCATTATGTCCCCCAGCCCAAACCCACTCATAACTCTTCTGGCCAAACCACCTTACTTCACAGAGACACCACAGAGCTCCCACAAACCTGAACCTGCAGCTGTCAGCAGGTATGGAGCAAACCAGAACCCCCGAGGCACCTCCTGGGCTCCACACAGCTGATAGAACCTGAGGAACATCTGCCCACCCTGATGCAGGCTAACAAGTCATTATGCTCAAAACACATTAGTCGCTCCCAAACACCCACACTAGCATTTGAAATCCTACCAATTACTGAGTGTGTTGTTTGTGTGACTGCCTAATCCCACTCCCAGAACCCCACCACAGCACTTATGGTGCTTTACGTGTCCTTTCTGTATACGCACCTGGCTGACATCACCACAAAGAATCCACTTCCAAATCTCTGAATGCCACGGAAAGCATTCATGTTTTCATTACTGGTTATGGACAGGGTGCAACAAAACGTGGGGAGAAGTTGCAGGCTCTGCCTGGAGAGCTTTCCCTCGAGATACTCCAGAATTTGAAGGATGGATTTCTTTACAACTCAAACAGATGGCAAGGTACAAGCTTTTCATCCATTCACTTCAAGCTTTAAGACTTCTCTTTCCTCTGAACACAGCAGAGATGCAGTAATGTTGAGTTACAGAGAGAAGTGACTGAGATCTTTCAGCAACATGGATTGAGTTCTACACATGACTCCAGGTTATTCTAATGCAGTTTTGTCTAACAACACAAAGAAGGTGTTACATAATGCAGCTGAAAAGTTTAATTTCTCCCAATTTTTCCCCAGCAGCAAAGAGCCAGTCTAGCTGAAGCAGAGACAGTGACAGACCTACTCCCTGGCACAGCTGTGCTGAAGGAGCAGCTAAAAAGCTGCGCCAGTGCCCCCAAATAGTCACCGGATGACTGCTGTGACACTTGCACTGCAGCGTGGGAGAAGGGTCCTTTCACCTGGGAAAGGGCACTAAGGCAAAGCTCATCTCTGACAGCTTTTTAAACCTAAGTACCACTAAGCAGCAAATATTTTCTCGGATCTCCCTTGCTTGATACTGAAAAGCACTGGGATCAGGCAGTGAGTGAAATACTACACTGTAGGACAAGCAATATAAAACCAGAACAGGCACAATATAGAACCCAAATCCCTTGACTGGTCCATGTAGTGGCTCGGGACGCTGCGGGGAGGGCAGACGTGGTGGGTACAGATTTTCAGAGAGCAGTTTTTCCATTCAAAGGAGCGAGACCCCTTGAAGGAGGCTGCTGACTTTGCCCTCGGACACGCGCACGGCATTTCAGCAGAGGAGAAACCACCGGACACACTGACCGCGCTTCCGAATTCCCGACGATTATAAAGGTCCATCCCTGACAAATCCACTTCTGACACGCTCTTTGCCGACCCAGCAAATACAGCCCTGCGGGTGCTGTGGCCGGGCCGATGGCGGGGACGCCTCAGGAGACAGTCACCCCTCCAGAGGCTGAGGGTCGGCGGGGTGCAAGGGTGGCACGGCCGCCCGCTGCCACCCGCGAGTGTGCGGCTGCTCTGTGGGCATCGGGGCAGCCAGCGACGGGACCCGCCGGCAGGAGCCACTCCCCAGCCCCGGGACGGCCCTGGGGCACAAGCCCTGGGTCGTGCCCGCACTGGTACCTGGGCTCGTCCCGAGGGTCTCGGGACTCCCTCCAGCCCGGCACGACCCCCGAGGCGGCCGGGGGCGAGCAGGGTGCCGGCACCGCGGGGCCCCCCGAGGCACCGCCCGCCGCACCCTGGGCACCCACCTCACTTTGGCCGCCACGGACGACATGGCCTCGTTCCTAAGCGTCTTCCTTTTGGACACGGCTGTGCCCATATTCGCGCGGGGGGTCGCGGCCGGGGGAGCGCTCATCGCCGGGCCCCGCGGCTGCCCATGCCGGGGCGCGCCGCCGCCCCTCGCCGCCGCGCCGCCTCAGAGCCCCGCCATGCCGGCCCCCGGCCCGCGGCCCCGGCCCGCGCTGCGCTCCGCCGCGGCCGCTGCCGCCCCATTGACTGCGGCAGGAGGCAGGGAGGGAGGGAGAGAAGGAGGGACGAGCCCGCCCCGCCGCCCAGGAAGCGCCGCTATATTTGGCCAGCGGCACCTCCTCCGCCCGCCTGACATCATGGCCGGGGAGGGGGCGCCGGCCCCGCCTCAGGGGCCGCGCGGGGCGGCGGGACCCCCGCATGGGGAGCGTGGGGCTGCAGCGGGAGGAGGGAAAGGCCCAGGGACACCTCAGGGGGCTGCGGCTCCTCCCGAGGGGCAGCTCCCATCTCTGCTCTGGGCCAGGGACAGGAGCCAGGGCACGGCTGGGGCTGGGCCAGGGCAGCTCAGGCTGAGCTCAGGGCAAGGTTCTTCCCCCAGAGGGTGCTGGCACTGCCCAGGCTCCCCAGGGAATGGGCACGGCCCCGAGGCTGCCAGAGCTCCAGGAGCCTTTGGGCAGCGCTGCCAGGGATGCCCAGGCTGGGGTTGCTGGGGGGGACAGGGGCTGGGCTGGGGGATCCCTGTGGGTCCCTTCCAGCTCGGGATGCTCTGTGATTCCCTGGTTCTGCCTGAGGGGAATATCCAGCCAGCAGCCGTCAGACACGGCTGCAGGAGGAGGCCCGGGGGTATCTCCTTCCAGGCTCCTGTCAGGAAGTAGACGTGCGACCTGCAAAAAAATCAGTCATTTTCACACAAAACTGCAGCCTGCCTTTGACAGATCGGCTGAAAGATTTCACACACGATTTATTTTCCACACCAGGGCAGCTGCATCCATCTGCTCACGGGGTGGACACGGTCACGAAGGTCAGACTATCGGGCTTTGGACACGACAGCTCTGAAGGATTGACACAAACGCCACTGGCTTTGTCCCCTGAGCAGGTCACTGCTCCCCACTGTTGTCCCAGAGCAGCAGCACAGCCATTGCCAGAGTGACTGGAGACAGCGGAGCCATGAGGGGGAGATGGGTGTTCAGAAACCTCCCTGTGGCCAGTGTCACCTGCCAGAGCAAACACCTGCCTTGAGATCATCGAGTGCCTGAAAACAAACCCAACAGAAGGAGCTGATCGACCAGTCAGCCCAGCCTTAGAGGATTTTCAATTCACACAGTCACAGAACTGCTTGGGTTGGAAGGAACCTTCATAGATCACCTACTCCATCCCATGCCATGGGCAGGGACACCTCCCACTGTCCCAGGTGCTCCCAGCCCTGTCCAGCCTGGCCTTGGGCACTGCCAGGGATCCAGGGGCAGCCCCAGCTGCTCTGGGCACCCTGTGCCAGGGTCTGTTCACCCTCATCATAAAAATTTTCTTCCTATCACACAGTCTAAATCTATTCCTTTGCCTCTTATCCTGGTCCTGATAAAAATTCTCCCACCATCTTCCTTATAATCCTCCTTTCAATATATAAAGACTGCAAGAAGGTCTCCCCAGAGCCTTCTCCATCTGAACATTCCCAACTCCTCCAGCCTTTCTTCACAGCAGAGGGGTTCCAGCCTCCAGATCAATTTCAGGGGTGTAGGTTTTGATCCCTAGGGAGGTTTGGAAAATGTTTTTCCTTAGGAAAGTATTTTATAAATTACTTTCAGGATACCTGAGTGACTGGGGCAGCAAATTCTTGCATATTATTCATAATACATACAGAAAAAGCACTTGGATTGTCCCCCTGACTCTGCAGGCAAGTGCAGGAACCCCAGGAACTCAGAGCCACTCATTCAATAATATTGGACAGAGGGGTAGAAGTTTTATAGATAATTAAAATTCCCACAGGTTTTGTGAAAAGAGGCAGCTGAAGGAGGGAGTGACAGGCACACCTTGTCCTGTCTGTACCTGAGGAGAGGCTGTAGCATAAGCTCATGTTTCACTGTCCTTCAGAGACCCTGCATGAAGAGACCAAAAGCTGGGGAAAAGCTTCAATCCTCTCTCTCCATAGACTCCAACATAAAATCTGCAAAGAAATATAAGAGGATTTGAACAAATTAAGTCTGTTTGGTCTATTAACCCTACCCATTGAAAAATAATTTCTATAGAGAGGAAAAAAGATGAAGAAGGTACCCAATTCCCCTGGTTTTTGTGGACACAAGGAGCAGGATACAAATACCTCACCAAGCAGAATTTTATCACAATCTGAACAATTCACTATGAATAACAAATTTTCAGAGCTGTATCTTTGCTGAGGCCCAAGCTGTGAGCAGAAAAAGTGACATGTCCACAATAAAGACATGGAAATACTTGACAAATAAGGTCAATCTGTGTTTCCCAACACTTTTTCCCATTTATGTAAATTAGATGGGGGAAATGGTTTTTATTTCTATGTTTAAATATTTTGCCGGTTGAGACAAATGCTATTCCTTAAAAATATAACTCACCCTCCAAAATAACAGGCAGGTCTGCTCTATCCATGACACAGTTCCCACCAGATCTACCTGGAAGCATCCCAGAGTTGCTCACAGTGACGTTTTTCATGTACAAAACAAAACCCAACCTCAATATATTGGATTTTTTCCCCCAGAATATGACTCCAATTAAATTTCTACTCATTACTTCCCCCCACCCTGTTTTTTGTTGTACAGTCATGTCACGAAAGAGTTCCTACAACAGAAAAGGAGAAAAATAATCCATCTGTTTTGAATGAGCAACTGAAAAAAAAACCCCACTTGTAGAGAACTGGAGCCATGCAAGCAGTTCCAGTCTCCATGAAGCTGTGCCCAGTGCTATCAATTCCCAGAATTAAAAAGCATCCAGATGGATGCCTCCATCTTCATCCCATGGTCAGACTGCTCTTACTTGTGCCTCTTGGAGCTCCCTCAGACTCTCCCTCACCCGTTCCCCAGCAAGGTCTCCCTCTCTGAGGCTGGGGAGGCTCTGAGGACTGCTCAGGGCTTGGCCCAGTGGGTTTTGAACACCTCCAAGGATGGAGATGCAAACCATGCTCTGGTCCATGTCCCAGGGCTGCACCTCTCCCACAGCAAAAGATTCCCATAGATCCACTGGGAATTTCCCATGTTGGGCTGAGTGCGCTGGAGAAGCACCCAGCCCCATGACTCCACAGCACCCCAGCAGCCCATCCCTGAAGATTCCCCTCTTGCTTTTGCTCCTTGCCTGCCTTCCTTTAGGGTTTCCTGCCTGCCTCTGGGTTTATCCCAGGCATTTAGGGGTCTGGGTTACCCCAGAAGAGGAGGCAGCCAGGGGGCCCTTTACAGCTGGAGAGCTGCCTTTGCTTCGTGCTAGGAAAAAAGTCAGGCGAGCCAGGCAGACACAGTTCCCACGGCTTCTCCATGGCAACAGGGCCTCCAGACATGCACACAGGCAAACGGGCCGAGGGGGCTGGGAGCCTCACAGCCCCTCCACCCAAACCCCAAACCTCCACTCATGGGGCTCTCAGGGGATCTCACCCCAAAACACCTTCCAAAATAACCACAGCTGGCCAGAGGAATGCTCCTTCCTTCCACCAGGGAAGGTGCAATGCCCTGAAGCCCAAGCCAGGCAAAGTCCATCCCAACCAGGGATGGGTTTTGTCCACAGAAATGCATCACACTTGAAAATCTGGTGTCTCTGCATCCTGGCAAACCAAACAGCACATCTCTGTCCAGCAGAAAACCCAGAACCTCAAACCTATTAGATCTAGGTATCAGATTCTGACACTCAGACTTTAAGGAACCATTCTTTTTATATTTATAAATGTAATTTTTGTCTAAACGAGCAAAAACTGTGTATCCTGACAATTTAAATGCAAAAAAGGAGAAATAAGGCAAGCCAAAACCAGTCACAGCAGCAACCTGCAAAAGGGAGAGGGAAACAATAATAAATACTTCTTCAAGCACGTCAAGCTGGAGAGTCAGAAGTTGGCTATGGTGCAAGAGAAGCATTCATAGGAGATAAGGTCAGAACAGAAAAACAATGAATATTTTGCATCTGTAGTCAGTGAGGAAAAGCTTGGAGACGTTCCTGTGCCAAAAGTCATCTTTATATGGATGTGGCATTGGATTTGGCTCATGTTCAAGTGTCAGCAGAAGAAGTTGAGGAATAAATAGCCAAACTAGAGAGTGCAAATGCACCAGGCTGAGATGGTTCACCTAAGGGCCCAGTGAGAGCTCAGAGGTGAAACAGTTTAATTACTTAGTCGTAGCATGTAATCACTGTGTGTAACAGCCTCACTGTCTGAGAGCTTCAAGGTGACAAATGCAAAGAGTTTGGGGTTAAGACAGACCCTGAAGTCTGAGGTTCCCTCCTGGGCAAAGTGAAATTGTCACTAAGAATCTCATTAGTGCAGAGTTGGATGCATTTGAAATACTGTGAAGAAAAGAAAGTTGATTTTCCTGGAAAAAATGAATGCTTGATAAATGTATTACAGTTCTTTAGAGGGGTCAGTAAGTGTGAGGTGTAGTCTGCTTGGGTTTCCAAAAGGTCTGTCACACGAGTGTCTTACAGGAATGCAGCTACCATGGGATTAACAGAAAACACTTGAAATAGATAAATACCTGGTTAAAAGATTCCCAAAAAACAGCACTCAATAAGCAAGCTCCTGAATGGAGGGATGACTGGAAAGGAGCCCCACAGGGACCTGGGCAGGGCTCTGCTCACTTCAGCATATTCAGAAATTATCTTGAAAATTAATTGGAAAAAAAAAAGGAATGACAAAGTTTGCAGCTGATGTTAAGGCATTCAGGGTCATAAATACATGAGACACTGAAGAATTATACAAAGACCTCGTGATAGTGAATAACTGAGCAATAGGTTCAGATATTGAGGAGATAATTACGAAGATAAAGACAGGATGGAAACAATCCCAACTCCTCCAGCACTGGGCTCTGCACTGATCTTTATCCTCAGAAATAGCCTATTTTTCTTCCAGGTTCC